TTTCCATCATGAAAACAATGAGAAGAATCCTTGAAGAAACTTAGGCAGTAGTGAGGTTGGCTGTCCTGTTCGGATACCTATGGTAGACGAACAAAGCATTAGCTTGACCAAAGGCTAGACTAAAAGATTTTCAAGTATAATTCTAACTCATTTATTTTATCATGCAAAAGTAAGGTGGTCATAAAAATAGTTTTATTATTCTTTAACATTATTATTCTTGAGATTAGAAATAATAGGGAGATAGCATTTGACCTCTTATATTTCAAATAGAAAAGTCTATTTTAAAAGTCTACTTATAATATTTTAGAATGCTTGACCTCATTTAAGAAATTGTTTTAGATAAAGAATTTTATGAGTAGCGATATGAATATTATAAAAATAAAATAGTAAAAATTTCAGAAAAAATGAGTAATATTGAGGATTTAGATGAATATTATCTCTTTAAAAGTCTCAAAAAGTTAAAATGAATAGGAGTAGATTTAAATAAAGATCTAAAAAGACTAAAAGAAGCTAAGCAAAGATAATCTCAACTACTAGTCTAATAGACTTAATTCCACACTTACTGAACTTAACATACTAGCTACACATTAGTTTGTAGTCTAAGTTAGGTTCCAAAAACCCCAAGAATATATTTGTATCTGTAAGGATAGGTTTGAGATTAATAATCTCGAACGTACTGTTGCAATTTCTTAATGACCGAGATATAGTGTAAGCCTTGTTCCTCCCAATTGCACAACTGCATAGTAACTACGATAAGTATGCCCGCATCCAATCCCCTGTTCTCGAGATCATTACCTAACAAGACACATCAGACTCCAATGATCTCATTAAGAAGGCCTATAAATACCCCCATGGGTCACCTTAAAAAAGGTAATTGAAATCGACTTAAAGCTTCTTTTACAATCTTTTCTTAAGGTAGACCAAATTATTGCTGACTTAGGCATCAAAATGTCTACCCTAAGGATCCACCTTAAGGCTTTGCAGGTCTGTTTGAAGAGAAGATCTGGACTGAAAAAGACTCAGAGCTTGTTTAGTGCAGATTGTGGGAAGAGCTTTTTGGCTCGAAAAGCACAAGCTGCACCAAACGGGTCAGCTTCCAAAACTTGTTGCAGCTTTTGAGAAGCTCAGCTTCTCGCTTTTTCTTTGCAAAGGTCGGAAGCTCCCATTTCTTACTTCCGCGGGAGCTTCTCACTTCTAATTTAATGAAATTGACATGATCTTCCCATTTTATCCTCACACTTCCTTTTATTTACGAAAAAACTAGTATATAAAGGACCAATTTATAATCAAAACAACCAGCCCCAAGCACATTTGTTTCTTCTTCCTCATCCAATCACAGAAACAAATCCAAAATACTCATCCAATCACAGAAACAAACCAAAAATACTTAACTATATTATTCCTCATCCAATCAAAGAAACAAACAGAAAATACTTACCATTTTCTTCCTCATTTTCTTTTCCCCTAAACCGAAAATCCCCTCAGCTTCAATTCGGAGACAAACCCAGGAGCTGGGTTCGCGACGAACCCTGCGCTTGGGTTTGGAGACGAACCCAGCGCCTGGGTTCACGACGAACCCAACGCCTAGGCTCTGAGACGAACCTAGGAGCTTGGTTTGTCTCAAACTAGGCGCGGGTTCGTCGCAAACCCATCCCCTGGGTTCCGAGACGAACCCAGGCGTGGGGTTAGTCGCGGAACCCAGGGGGTTCAAGACGAACCCAGGAGAACCAGGCACGGGTTCGTCGCAAATCCCTCCCTTGGGTTCCGAGACAAACCCAAGCGAACCCAGCTCCTGGGTTCCGCGACGAACCCCACGCCTAGGTTCGCGCGAACCCGAAGGTGAAAAAAAAAAGGAAGAAAAAAACAGCAGAGAAATAGGAATGGGAGAATAATAAACTTTATAATATTTATATTAATAATTATATAATTAAATGATTTTAAGTTATATTAATAAAAAATTTAATCATATTATTAATTTTTATCATATGAATATTTCATGTAATTTAAATA